GGACTCAGGACAAGGTGCATTCCTATAAGTCTTCCTACCAATATGACCAAGTTGCGAAAACAAGGTCAAATAACTCCTATACAATGGAAGGAGACTGCGACCACAAAAAAAAGACCACACCATCTTGGTCTTTATACTTTCAATAATTTTGAAATATCAACCTCGAAAAAAAAGAGGATAATGTACACCAAAAACGCATCGAAAGCCCGTGGAGCTACAGGAGGGTCCCGCCAGGCACCAAGATCTTGGTTTTGTTATTGCCCAAAAATCATTACTTCTGTGTGCAAAGCCGACGACAGAAAAGGACGAAATCGACTCTATTCCGAACATCAATTTGGGCCCAGTGGATGATGCTGATACTGATCGAGATGTCTTTTCACGAGAAACTGGTTTAAACCACGTCTACCAAGGTGATGTTGTTCCGGTTAATATATTCGCTTGTTTCTCGGCCCACACCTACTCCTGCTCCAAGCTCCTTCAAGCCCCGGCACACCCTCAACGCCGTCAGGCCTATCTTCACAATGGCTCCTCCCCTCTTGAGTCACGCTTTCTTTTTGATACCTTTTCCACCTCGTAGGTTTTTATGCCATAACCCGCCTGCAAGTCAAACTTGATGGACCGTCGAGACCATCGCATTTGGGCCTATTTTTGTGTGCACAATCGGGTATTAAAGCGAAATGAACTCAAGCTCAGCCCAGTTGACATGTGTGACTGGGCTGAGGTGTGTCTGCATGTGCAAGTCTGCATTGGTATTGCTACCTGTATACACTCATGTGTGTATCCATCTATGCAGACATACACAAATCGGATGCAGTTGGTATTCATATAAATATGTATACATAAACATACACGCGTAGTGGGGCATGCGTGTGAGTATAGGTGTGTTTGTGTGTGTGTATTTGTATTTGTGTTGGTATATGCAAATGGTAGGGGCCTGTCAAGCAATCAAGTTTTGTCTGGAACAAGGTCTCGTTGCCACTTGGACAGGAATAACTGTTCCACATTTTTTGGGTTGTGATGTACAAACGGCATATACTCACACACATACACCTATAGGTGCACACAGTTGTTTGTCATCTCGTCCACAATAGTAGGACGGGCAGATGCGGCTACAGACTTGCAGAGGCCCTTTCGGTTAGCGAGCCAGAGAAGCTTAGAAGAGGACAGCCCAGCAGAAGCAAAATGAAACAACGAAAAAGAGTGCGGACAATAAAGAGTAGGCGCAAAGCTGAAACAATGGTTGAATAAAGAAATGTCAACGGCGGTGAAGGAGACGAGGAAGACGAGTCAAAGGGAAAAAATGGAAAAAGGGGAAAACGAGACGGACGAAGAGGGAGAAAGAGGATGAAAAAAGGCAAAAGGGTGCCGTCTATTTTTGAAACGATCATCTCAGATGAGGTATGAGATTGACTCTATGGTGGTATTCACAAGCCAAGTGTGTGTCTTGTGAATGGGCGCGCAAGTGAATATTGGCCGGCCCGCTTTTTTACTCTTC